GCCTCTGCTCCGGCTGCAGTCCCACTGGGACCAATGGCTCAGCCCCACCCTCACCCCCCGCAGCCCTATGAGGGTCACACCCGGGGGCTCTGCGGGAACTTCAGCCGTGACCCCAGTGACAACTCCGCGGCCCGTGTTACCTTGGAGAAGAAGAGCCAGCCTGGGGGGTGGGGTGGCCGTGGGCTGTCCGTCCCGCCTGAGGTGACCAGGGACAGACTGTGTCAGCGGGAAGGTGCTGGCTCCCGCAGGGGTCACAGCAAAGTCAACCCGGGTCCATGAGTACTGGGCCGTGTCAGTGATCTGTGTCTCCCTGAGACCGCATCCTCCGCTTGGCCTCACAGAAGGATGTCCACCAGGGTGCAAATGTCATAGCGGGGCTCTGGAGGGGTTCTTCCGTCTGTGGTGAGTCACTGCGGAGCGGGACGGGAGCTCATCCGTTCCTCATACAGGAACACTTCTGTACCCCTGCGTGCCCCCAACCCCTTCCTACGTTCCAAAGCATGGTGTGACAGACACTTCCAGATTCTCCGCCCAGGCCCCAGACGGATATATGCTGCTCTGCTTGCCGTCTGTTTTAAGACCCCCTCTGGGCGGACTCTGTGATTCCTTGTGTTGTTCCTGCCACCCTGTCCAGTGGACTGATTGTCCTTTCCCATCCTTGGAAAGCCTGACCCGGGAGGCCCAGAGACGCCGTGCTGAGTCCCCAAGCCGCCCCCCCGCCCCGGCTGCCGGCGGGACACTGGGGGCCCCGAGCCCCTCCAGGACAGGGCCATGTGGAGCAGCTCTGGGGACTTCTGGCCAACTGGTCCAGGCCCTTCGACAAGCGTCACTAGCTCAAGAACCCCATGGCCTAAACGCAGCCTGCATCTTCGACCTCCACCAGCAGGGCCTGGGCCCATGTCCAGCTCTGCGCCCCGCACGGCATCCCCCTGCCCGAGTGGTGAGCCAGGCTGGGATACCGTGGGTGCCCCTTCACTTTCTGATGAAGACCTCACCCCCTGGGCGGCTAGGATGCTGCCTTCCCCAGCTGACTGGAACCCCTGGTCCCCAGGGAGACCCCAAGCCCTGCTCCCCGGAATGGTGACCCAAACCTCAAGGCAGAATCAGGGCTCCTCTCAGCCTCTCTCTGACTCCATCTCCCTGCACTTGATCCTGAGTTGTCCTAGTTGCTCATCATGGGCCGCTGTTTTAAGTTGCCGGTGGGCACAGTGTTAATAAACCACATGGAGGGAAGGCGTTCACCGGGAACCATGGTGGTTGGGGAAGCACCCATCCCTGCCTTCCTCCCCGACCTGCAACCATCCCAGGTTTTTTTGCCTCTGGTTGAGGAATCGAGGGTTTTCGGGGGTGTGGCATGTCCAGCCAATAGTTACTGTGGCTTCTGTGGGCCCCCCTGCCCCGCCCCCTGTGCCAACCTGAACTCTTCGTGCCCTGCACCTGCCAGCGCACAGGGGGGCTGCTTCTGCTACAAGGGCTTCACCTTGGAGGCAGGCCCCTGCGTGCCGCCCGCTGGCCGTGCCCCCTGGACCAGAAGGACTTGTGCCGCAGGCCTGGAGACCCCTTTTGAGGGATACCCTCATGCCTGCGGGCTCCGAGATGCTGGCCGTGCAGGGGTGTCTGGGAGTGTCTGGGTGGCTCTCCAGAGATCCCTGCATGCACAACTTCCGGGGGACCCAGCACCAGTTCCCAGAGGCCTGGCTGGGGGGGACGGCAGGACGGCACTCCCCCTTCGCTGCCTGGGTGGAGGTCAGGTAGCGGGAGCCCTGGGGGGCCACACGGGCCCACAGGTGGACATGAGCATGGCAGGATGGCATCTGTCACTGCTGGCGGGACTGTTTGGGGTGATCCAGGTGGGCAAGACCCCACTCTAGTCCAGAGTCTCGGAGACCCCTGATGACTAATGAACATAAAGGACAACAGGCTGATGGAGCCCAGGGGCTTTCACTTTGGCTAGGGAGGTACTTAGAACTGGGCAGGGGGTCCCCACGCCAGTCTTGTACTGTGGAGTCTGGCCACCTCGGTGCCGCCCCCCACAGGTGTGCCCATGGAGCCTGCTCTGGGAACCCGAAATCCCTGGATAAAAAGCTCTGAGCTCAATCCAGAGCCCTCAGTGACCTCGTCCCAGGCCCGTCCTCAGGGGAGTGGACCATGCAGCCAATGTGCACACACCAAACCCCATCGCTGGCAATGGGGGGACTGAGGTGGGCTGAGGAGTGGAGGGGGTTTGTATGAGTATGCGAGGCCTGCTGCAGGGCTAAGAAGACAGGAGGTGAGCCTGGGCAGCCTCTCCTGGGCACCATGTCCTGTCCAGAAACTCTGAGGCATCAACAATTCTAAATTCACACCGGGCCTCCAGGGCATTAGAAAGGTCTATGTGTCATATCAGGCTAGAATCCAGTTCCTTGAACAATTTGGCAGCTGGAAGACATGGTGGGTGGGCCTCCATTTATACTCTTGTTCTGGGCCCCACAAGTGGTGTGGGGGGGATGGACATTAGGCCCACACAACACAGGGTGTCGGTCAATGCTCTAACAAGCAGTGTGGGGAAGAAATGAAGCCGGTGGCGCTGGGTCTGGAGGGCTGGGTTCGAATCCCACTGTGCCATTTGCTAGCTATTGACCTTGGCCAAGTGGCCTTGGTGTCCCCATCTGGGACCTGGGGGATGATGGTACTGTGAGTTCCACGGGGCATGATTCTCTGCTCACACAGAACACACCAAGCAATTCTCCAATTCCCTGTGGACACCAGCCGGGCATCCTATCATTCGATTTAATTCTGACACTACCTACCTGGAGAGCACCAGAGCCCACAGGTGACGGGTTGTCCCACACGACTCCCCCTCCACACACAACTTCAGGGCAAGTAGTAGGTTGTCCACAACTTCGGTCTGACTTGGCTCCGAATTGGCGGTTTCCACAGCCCCCTCCTCGGGTTTGATAATTTGCTCTAATGGCTCACAGAACTCAGGGAAACACTTACATTTACTAGTTATTATAAAGTCTATCACAAAGGGTACAGGTGACTGGCCCGATGGAGAAGTACACAGGGCCAGGGCCAGAGGGGTCCTGAACACAGGAGCTTCCATCCCCGGGGACTTGGGGTGGGTCACCCTCCTGGCATGTGGACATGTTCACCAACCTGGAGACTCTGTGAACCCCATACTTTAGAGATTTTTATGGAGGCTTCCGCATGTAGGCATGATCGATCATTAACTTGTGTCCCGGCCCCTCTCCTCTCCCCAGCGATGGGGGTGGGACTGAAAGTTCCAAGCTTCTGGTCATAGTTTGGTCTTTCTGGTGACCAGAGCCATCCCAGCGCCCACCAAGCGTTGACTCATTAGAACAAAAGACACTCCTACCCCCTAGGAAATCCCAAGAGATTTAGGAGCTCTGTGTCGGGGAGCTGGGGTCAGGGACCAAACCTCAGACCAGAAGATACCCCTAGCACCCCCATCACTCAGGGAATGACAAGGGTTTTAGGAGCTGCGTGCCAGGAACAGGGCAGAGACAAAATATATATTTCTTAATATGTCACGGGTGCTTATCTGTATGTGAGGACTAAGAGATGCAAATTGCCTAGGACAAGGCATTTAGTTAAGGCATAAAAGGATTTGATAAATAAATAAACCATAGAACTGCAAAGTCAAACCAGCTTTCTAGCAGCGTCCCACCACCCCAGGGCAGGCAAAGGTGCAATCTTTAAAAACCCAAAGTCAGGTCACATAGGTCCCATTTTAAAGCCCTCCCATGGCTCCATCTTACTCAGACTAAAACTGTGGCCTGTGAGACCCCACAAAACTGGCCCCTCTGCCCTCACATCCTCTTCCTTATCCCCTCCCTCGCTCTGTTCCAGCCACAGTGACCTCTCCATGGTTCCCCCAACATCCCAGGCAGGCTCCCACCCCAGCGCCTTTGACTGGCTGTTCCTCTGCCTGAAACCGTCTTCCCTGAGATGCTCACATAGCTGACCCTGACTCATCATCCTTCATGTGTCAGCTCAAATGTCACTTCCTCTGGGAAGCTCTCCCTGACCACCCCCAGGAAAGGAGTTCCCCCCTCTCAGTATCTATTATAATCTCCCATTTTCTTTCCTTCAAAGTATTTTTCAGTATCCTAAATCATCTTTTCTATTAATCACTTCTTTGTTTCCTGGCTGTCTTCCTACTGACAGCATAGGGGTTCTCCAAGGGCGGGGACTTTGTTTATTTCGGTGAAAAAAAAAAAGACAAAAATCCCGGGGAAAAAGACCATAAACCAATACTCAAGCCAGCCTCGAGTATGTCAGAGGTTCCTTCTGGAGAAAAATAAGGCAGAGAAGGAGGCTAGAGAGGACAGGGGAGGCAGGGAGGTGGGGAAGAATTGGGGCAGAGGCCCGAAGGAGGTGAGAGAGGGAGTGGTGTAGACACATGAGGGAAGAGTTTTCCAGGCAGAGGGCACAGCCACTGTAGAAGTCCAGAGGTTGGAACGGGGCCTGGTGTGTGGATGGAGCAGAGTGAGCGAGGGGCTGGGTGGGTGAACATGAGGACAGAGAGATGACAGAGGCCAATCTCCAAGGGCTGCTCAGGCCATGGTGAGGACTTTGGATTGTATCTGAGTGTACCAGCGGAGCCATGGAAGGGTTTGAGCAAGGGTTGGATCATGGGGGCAGAAGCTAGGGGCCCCCAGGCGCTGGTGTCTGGGCAGGGCTACCTGACACACCTGGGCATCTGTTCTGCTCTGTGCCGGGGAGCAGGTCCCAGATCGGTCTGCCCTTGCCTCTGGCTGGGGTCATGCTCTGGGCCTTCTGCACATCTTCAACCATCACGGTCCAGGTGACCTCTGGCCTCTCCGTGGCCTTTCACAAATCCTGTGCCCTCTGGGGCCTTAGTGGGGATTTTCACATGGATGTCTTGGATGATTTCACTGGGTCCAATGGTATATAGTTTTCTGACGCCCATGGCTCACCCACAGGCTTAGCACCCTCTCCCATGCCCACCGGACCAGGCAGCCCTATATTGGACCTTATGGAGACTGCTGGGCACCCACGACAGGCCCCACAGGGCCTACAATGAGCACATGGAGCCTCTGGTCCACATGGAGAACTGTGTCCATGACCTCTGTGCCACAGGGAGCTTGCAAGAAGCTTTGCGCGCCATGCTGAGGAGCTGCACCCAGGAATGCCAGGGACATGGCCTCGCCGCACAGCCCTGGTGGCCTGCGGTGAGTGGTGTCACCACAGGGGTCCTTTCTCAGCCCGATCTCACTGGCTGGCCCAGTACCACCTCCAGGATATCCTCCTAGGTCAATGCCACCCAAGTGGAGTCACTGCATGCCCTGCTGGATAACTGTCCCCCTTAGGACCCTCCCAGCTGAAAATGCTTCAGTAATAATGACAGCTGGAACCGAGGACTATCAGATCAGCCAGCGTAGTCTAGGTCTTGCTGCAGTAACAAACCAACCTGACATGTCCGGTGGCCCAGCATGGCCAAAGATGATTCCTTCTCCTACAAATTCCACAGTATTCAGGGCATCGTTCAAGTCCACATTCCATCCTGTGATGCCACCCCTGGTAACATGTGCACCCCACTCTTCAGTCCTTCACCTCAGAAGTCACACTCCCAGCTCCTAGGACTTCGGCCAGAACTAGTCACGGTCCCGCCTATTTGCAAGGGGGGCTGGGACAAGGAAGCACGTGGGCATTTAGTGGTTGTAAGACACTCTCCCAAATGCATTAGCTCATTCAATCCCCTTAACAACCTGCCAAGGGAAGTGTTATTATGACTTTTGTCTTATGGGTGAGGAGACTGAGGCACGGGGACATTAGGGAAGTAGTGCAAGGTCACCCAGAGAGTCAGCTGGAGGTGTGTGGCTTTGATTCCTGCTGCCTTTAGGATGAAGCACAAGCCCTTGGCTGAGTACTTGACACGCATGTAGACCGGCGCCCACTCCTGACCCTTGCCTGCTGCCCTGCACCTCTTTTTACACTTTGGATCCTGAAGGGTATGCATTTCCCACACTCTCCAGCCAGTTTCCTGCTGCTCACCGCTCCTTCCAGTCTCAGAAACCCACATGCCAGTGGGGCCAGGCATGCAAATGGCTGACGTGGGCTGGGGGAGACCAGCGTGTGTCCTGCCTGTAGGGATTGGCACTGCTCTCCAGATAGTTCTTGCCAAGCGGGAATGAGGACTCATTGGGGTTGAATAGCTTTATTCCAAATCCCAACTCTGTCACTCAGTAGTTGTGTGAATTTGAGCAAGTCACTGAACGTCTCTGGACCTCAGTTTCCTTATCTGTAACTGGGGTGATGAAAGTCTCTCTCTCATGAGATTGTTGCGAGGTATAAACAAGATGGCATGTGGAAAGCAAGCTTCTGGGAACAGCTCAATTATCAGTCATTCTTTCCATTGATGAGTGATGATGACCTTGCACAGTTTCCAGCTAACTCAGGTTTTTTCAGTGAATTCAAGAAGAAAATATTGAATATTATAAGAGATAACACCTAGAAGGAGCAGGGCCTAGTATAGAGTGGGTGCTCAGGAAATGTTTTCTAAGACAATCCTTATCACTATTATCACCACCACCATCATCGCCATCACCATCACCACCATCATCACCACCATCATCACCATCACCATCACCACCATCATCACCACCATCATCACCATCACCATCACCACCATCACTACCATCCTCACCATCACCATCACCACCATCATCACCATCACCATCATCATCACCATCACCACCATCATTACCATCACCATCACCACCATCATCACCATCACCATCACCATCCTCACCATCACTATCATCACCATCATCACCATCA